TCTTATGCAGGCGGGGAAGGTCTCTTCTTTCCACCTTCATTCGCAATGGGCTCTACGACAGTGATCGAACAAGCCAATGCCTCTACCATCTGCTTTATCTCTTCCCCAGCGGCAACCCACCTTTCTCCCAATGAAGAAGACTAAGCAGCTAACACCATTCACAGTACTCAGCAGGGGAGCTCAGCTTTTGCTGGCTTTTCCCTCATTTTCTTTGTCAGACCAACAGGTAGGAGACCTACATGCCCAGTATTCCAGCAGCCCAAGAAGCTCGCGACCTCCTCATTTCTCTTAAACACCAACTTGTACATGTCAGGTCCAAGAGCCTAAAGGGCTTGAGCCACACAACTCACCCAACACTGCGCCCCAGCGCCTCAAGTCGCAGCCCCAGCCGCACAGTTGCCCCTGGCTCTAGCCAAGTTGAGCAACCCAAGCCGTGGTCCCTGCCACACTACCTCCTAGGCCCATGCCGAGCCAATTCCTAGACCCTGCCAACCGACGTGCCATACCACCCTGACGATTGCCCCACGACAGCACCACCTAAGAAGAAGACTAAGAAAATTATGTTTTCCTTACCTTGGTGCAATGCGGAGAAGACAAAGAAATCAAAGGAAGACAGTTATTTGCACGGGCAAGCGAAGAAGAATGCTAGGGAAAAGGGAACAAATATCCTTTAGCTTTCTCTCTTTGTTGTAGGGATAAATAATTGCCCTCCAAAGTTAATTTAATCCCCTAATTAAGGTAGGGTTTAGTGGCAATTTATTTCTCTTTCCTAGAAGAATCTAATTCCAAGTCAAACTGGGAATCTGCATCAAATTAGGAAACTATCTTATGTTTCCCTAAGCTATTAGAGATCTCTACACCTACTACCCTTTCCTGTGAGCAGCCCAGTGGGTGTGGGGGCATTTGTGGAACAAAAAATAATCCAAAAAATCATGGAGGTGACATGAGAACTTTTGTGTAAAATAAGACGAGATTACGCTCGAAGCACACCGGGATTCCCATGCACATACAATGGACAATAACAACTTAATCAAGGAAGAGTCAAAGGTGATCAATATGGTATTTATTCAAATTCCTCTTATCACTCCTCATCAATCCCTTATTGATTTTGTTCAAAAGGTAACTCCCAAAACTTCCTATTTAAATTAGAAATCATTTCCATGTTAATTGCAAGATATTATTGAAGGAAAAAATTTGTCTTAGCTAAGAACAAGTAAGAACATTTGAATACATATGCAAACTATTAACACATTAAAGTAGGCATGCATTCAAAAACAATTCATAAAACCCATGACTTTCAAAGCCTAGTGAATGGTGAACCAAAAGACTCTTTAACAACATTAAAGAGAATGAAGAATTTAAAGATTCTTTACCCTTGAAGCTCATCCTTGTTTACACAAGGGATTCACCCAAGTGGAGGGCCTTCAAGTCACATCCAAGCTCCTTGGATCTTGCTTGTGATTTCCTTCCCCTTTTGTGCTCCTTTGGTCCTTGAGGATGTGAGGAAAGGATCTGTAAAACACCAAAGGTTTGGTGTCTCTAAGTCTCCACACCAAGGGTGAGGTGTGAAGATGAAATGGATGACTTAGAGAAGAAAAGATTGCTAGATAAATCTCCTCTAAGTGGCCAGCCTCCTTGTTGAAAAAGAGAGAATAGGTTTCACCTCTTTTCTACAAGAAAAACCCTTATGAGAAAAATAGCTATAAAGTTGCTTTTATAACACTTTTCTTAGGTGAGTGGCAAACTTGCAATTAAGCAAACTTTCACCCTCTCCTCACCATGGCCGGCCTATTTGTTGTGATTGGGCTTATTGCCCATTTTGTTTTAGTTGTCATACAACTTAAACATAATGGGCCTTGTGGACCAAAACACTTTTGGGCCCCGACACCCAAAACCAACTTAAAAGCCCAATACGAACCTTTCGTAAAATTAATTAACTAATTAATTAATCTTGACCATTCTTCAATTAAACCATTTAATTGCATATCCATTTCATTTAATTTCTTCACTTTCATCCTTACTGGGTGTACGATCCATTAGATTCCATTTAGCAAGGTAGTGGGCGATTGTTACTCTTAACGATCGATTGTGAATTGAAACCACATTTCAATTCTCCCTTAAAATTAGTGTTTGCTAATAATCAGGGCTTCCACAAATCATGAGTGACACCTAACAGCATGTCATGGTTACCCAAGCTAAGTAGAATTGGTTGGAAAACCTATCCAGTTACAACTACAATGCAATACAGTCCTTCTCTAATACAATACTCTTAATCACATTGTTTAAGTGATAGTTTGTTTCATGTCTACTATCCAATGTGATACTTCTCCATATGATTCTTTTGAATAAGATTTGGAACAAACTTCCTAAGTCATATTCATATGCTTTGGCCAAAGACTCTCGAATCACATCTTAGAGTATTCTCCTTCCACCATGGAAGGTTAGAGATCCTTTGTTGTGCATTCTTATGCCTACATGACTAGATAGCTTGACCCCAACAATGCCGTGGACACTCCAATGGAATGCCTTTGACATAAAGGTCAAGGACCTAACCATTAGACATCTATGATGCCTCAGGTCAAATGACTACTTTGCATATTGCAACTATCGAGTTCTTACATGACATGTATGTTCAAACTCTCTTTTGATCGTCGTTCAGTGTACTCGATTACTCTTTCGAGCACCTATGTGTTTGTCTTAGTGTCCAACACCAAATGACTTGAGACTAGTCATACTCACACTTGAGTCGACATAACACATACTAACCTTAGCGGATTGTCAATGCCCAATTGGCAATCCTATGGCTAGGAACGTTTTAGGAATGAACATAAGAGAATGGTCTTGATAATCTAACTCACTTAGATCACTTGTCTCTTAGATCAAATACATCCCTTGGATTCCCTTATTGCTTAAACACATGATACAATAAATAGTGATTAACAATAAGCTTTTCCCTTTATAAAACGTACAATAGTTTAATACAATAAGTATTCCAAAAGCTATTACATCAAATGAGTGGCTTTGTGGGCATACTTCCAACAATTATATCTCAAAATATCTTGCAATTATTCTCCAATAACCACCATATATGGCCAGCCACTCTCCACGCAAAGGGCCGGCCACCCTCCTATAAATACCACTCTCATCCCACTAAAATGCAAAGCCATTTGCTACCCACAAACTCCTAAATACATCATATTCAAAATTCTAACTTTAACATCAGAGATTCAAAATTCTAAATACATTCTTTTCGTTCCTCCCTCTCCTGTAGCCGTTCTTTTCCTTCATCTCTTTTGCTTCCCCTCCTCTTTTGCAACCCATAATCATGATAGATCTCAGGGTTATGGACTCGATCTTCACACAAGGCCCTATAGTCACATCTCACTGTCGAATTGGCATGCTGAAAATATTGGGTGAAGTGTGGAACTTTCACGTTGGAACAAGAGTGTTTTATAGACCCTCTTTGCCTTCCCCCCCCATATATTACATTTGGCGACTTTCTTAGCATGTATGGATGTGGATGTGGTTCTTGGTGGATTGATCTTGCTAAACATTCTCAAATCTAGGCTTTGGTTTGGGAAGCGGGCTTCTGTCACGCCTCGATCACAAGATACGTTCAAGATTGACAAATGACATAAAAACGTACTTGTCCCACTATCATGACTCGCTTTTGAGACATGAAATAAATAAATAAATAACCAACAGTTCAAAAGCGCAATAACTTTTCCTTTTATTTCATGGCTGCATTAACCCTTAGATTAGGCTACCGACGTGCTGTAAATGGGACCAAGCCATTCGTAGTCCAATAATGTTTCATGCCTATACATCTACTGTCAGTAGAGCATCATTACTTAATCAATATCAACTCCTATCATAAAATTAACAATATTTTAGAAACAAAAATCAATCCCAACTCAAAACTATAGCTTTACCAAAACAACAATTAAAGACCTATCCTCTACACAACCCGCCAACATAGCTCTATAACTTCACAACGCACCCAAATTTCCCAAAAAATCACATATATCCACCAATTTCAACTAATTATATCAACGAACATGCATAATTAAACCTTACAACTAACTTAATTTATCATAATTAATAGAAAATAACAAGATTAAATTCTAGATTTCCATTTTCAAAACTCACCAAATTTGAAATTGAATGGGGGGAAACAAATATGACGTCGGTGGTGGTGCAAGGACGTTGAACCCATCTTGAATGAAGCGAAAAAGCATGTCATTTCTATGGAACATACTGCACAGGGTTGGAATTGCAGTGAGGCTGGAGAAGACAAGCACAACACAACTACCAATGGGTTTGGAACGGGAAACAAGTTTTCGAACGGGAATGTTGTTGTCGATGGCAGGGTTGCTTGAGCATACACGGGAGTTGAATAGAGTTTTGGGATGACAAGACAAATTTAGGCAGGTTATTGTTGATGTCGGGGAGGGAAGCGTTTAAATCCCCAAATTTTGAAATTTTGCCGGGTATCATTTTAATTTAGGGGGGTGTATTCAATTGGGATTTTGAGGGATTTTAATTCTTTTAATGAATCTAGGGGTATTCAATCAGGAATTGAAGTGATTCTCTGAAATTTAATGTGTATTCAATCAGGATTTTAAGATAGTATATGAAAATCCTTAGAAATCCGGGTGTATTCAATTAGAATTTTAATGAAGTTTATCACATTACAGGTGTATTCAATTAGAATTTGATTTTAAAGAATTTGAGAAAGTTGAGGAATTAGAGGGAATTGGAGAGATTTCGTAGTGTATTTTGAGCATCCACAAATCTCATCTCTCCCCAAGAGATTTCGAGGGAATTGAATCAAAATTTTACATGGAATCTCTACAAATCAATTAAACTTCATAAAAATCCATGGATTTATAAATTCATTAAAATCTCTCAAATTCTCAATTGAATACACCCTCCTTAGTGACAGGTCATTGATGACCTGGTTTCATAGTAAGCCATTTTGATAGATTGTTTTTCAGCCGTTCAGGTTTGATCCATCGGACCAGATTCCGTCTGCACCTAAAATTTGCAAAATGCGGTCCGCACCTTTAAAAACGCAAAAAAGTAATAGAAGCTGTTGAGCTGATAGGCCAATCCTCAAGATGACCTCAGCCCATCAATTACTAACCTAGCCCATAAGACAAACAGGTTCCTAACAAGGCTGAACCCGCATCGTGGAAACGGTCCAGGACAGGGCCTCGTTTCCATAGATTTTTTGACCCACACCGCCCCATTTTGTCTTACGAATTTTGGAAACCGTCCAGAACCGCATGAACCCGCCACAATCTGCGAATTCAGGCTCGTTCGTCCACCCTTACCCCCACTTGTATAAAACATAAACTTCATAAATCAAGTCGATAATCTTTGTTTTGATACTGTATGGTGTTTGAAGTCGAACAGATTTTGGCCTCGACAGTTGTTGAATCAAGCACAGGTATTGTCGTCGGACATCTGTCATCTCTGAGTTATTATCTCTTCTCGGTTTTCAGCACACGGTTATTGTCGCTCAACTAGATATCTGATTCAATCCACTTGCCCACACAACAAGTTCAATGGTCTTTCTTGTTTCCAAACTTGAGTAACCATCTTGCTTCACAAGTCAAAAGGAAAAGAATCTCGGCATGCCGGACTCCCAAGAAGGTGAAAAACATCTGCATAGGATTAAGTTACTTCAGTCCGGGAGGCGGGAGCGGATAAGACAAGCACACAATACCAGTAACATATCATCCGATCCGACGCAAGACAAAAATAGTTTAGATTGCCCACACCAAGTGAGTAGTATTCACTACTCGTCACAATAATATACGACTAACAATTCTGTCACAATAACATAATCTAGAACCTTATGATGACTTGGTGTAAAGGTGGACGCCAAAAGCCAAACCCAAGATTGCAATGGGAACCAGGAACTGGAGAAGTTTGACGATAAACTCTGAAGTCTTGTCCTGGTTGTAATGAGGCTGCTTCGGCGGAGTGTATGTGGTACTTTTGGGGATGGTAGAGGCATCAATCTCTCCCACGTAGAAGTCCTTCAACATATCTCTGGCATTATCACTGTGACCCACGTCCTCAAAATCATCAGTTGCATCCTTCCCTGGAAAAAATACATAGCACCATCAAGTTCACTTTGTATTCAAAGATAAGCATAAAGAGACAAGAAACAACATACACATATAATATGAGAATGCACGCTACAAGATTTTTCAATTGGAAAAATCACAAACATTGCAGACCTCTGCAGGTCGTTAATCATGTCGATGATACAGTGAAGTCAACATGATTAACAAAGTTGAGGGATGTATACAGTCATTCTCTACTAAAGTAGAAAAAACAAGGACTTCTTTGTCAACCGTTTGATAAAATATCGATGACTGCAAAGTGGATGAAATTCATCCCAATCATTCTCATCTAATCAAACCAGTGAATATTATATGCAAAAATATCAGATATATAGTTTATCAGAGCCCTTCTACTGAGGGATCCAGTAAGGCCGACCCTGCAGTGTGGTTCAACAATAAAAAGTCTATTTTTAAGTCTCCTTTCAACTATTTAATTATTTGACCATCACCCCAATTCAGCTTTAACTGAAGCACTATGTTGGTCTATTTATTTGATCACAATTAGATGTCTATGTGCGTCCAATGGAGATTCAAGGATGATAAATGAATAAAAGTTAACAAAAATAGATGGTTCAGAACCTTGAACCACATTGCAACATGGGCAACAGAAGGTGACACCTAAATAAGCTTACTAAAGGCTCAATTTGGTTGGACTCTGTGTGAACTATTAACTCAAATGTTAAATGTAGTTTGTATATTGCTCACTAATTCTTGATAAATTTAAAAATTAATTCTTAAAGAAATTTCATTTAACATTGTTGATGCACAAAACCAGAGGTCTTGGTACAACGTAAATCCGACCGTGAATCTGCAAATAATGTAAATAACACAAGATGTATCGTGGTTCATCCCAAGGTTTGGGCTACGTCCACACTGATTGTATTGTATTTCTCTGAGAAGTGAGGGAGAGAGCCTCTGTAATATGAGAGAGGGGATGTGAGAGGGGTGAGAAGGCTTAGGAATGGCCTCTCCCAATTGTGAGGGTGAGGGGTCCTTTTATAGAATAAGGACTCCTCACTTATTACATATTTGCCCCTCCCTTATCACATAATTACATTTAAGTCCTCTGAGTATTTATACGAGATCTAAATACGAGACCCTAAATATGGTATAAACAATAGTCCTCCAAGTCTTCAGTCAAGAGGGTCTTTTGGCTGGAGACTTAAAATTCAGTCCATGTGTGTGCCGAAGTAACTAGATGTTGTCTTGAACTGATGCTCGATGTGAGGCAGTGCTCAATCTGAAATGACGCTCAACTAGAAGTAGCACACGCTGCGAGGTTACTCGGCTTCGTAGCTCATGTTGCCTTGGTTGGCTCGGCTTGCGGCGTTTGAAGGTGTGGGAGTCCCTTTTATAGAATAAGGGCTCGCCTCTCAATACATGAATGATGGGCTAGAGTTGATGCTCTCTAATGGTGGTGAAGGAGTCCCTTTTATAGGATAAGGGTTTGCTCCTCAATACATAAGTGATGAGTGCTTTCTAATGAAAGTGAAGAAGTCCCTTTTATAAAATAAGGGCTCGTTCTTCAGTACATGAATGATGGGCTAGAGTCCCCCAAGTATTTTTCATGAGACCCAGTTAAGGCCCAATATATGGTACATAATGTAGTTCCTCAAGTCTTCGGTCAATAGAGTCTGTTGGTTGGAGACTTCAAATTGAATCCATGTATGGGCCGAAGTGGCGGTTGTTCGGAGGTGGTATTTGTATTCCCTGCACTAAAGCTTTGTAGGTGAAGCTTTGCAAGTGAAGCTTTTGAAGCTAGAGCTTTTGTAAATGAAGCTTTTGAAGCTAGAGCTCTTGTAAATGAAGCTTTTGAAGCTAGAGCTCTGTAAATGAAGCTTTTGAAGCTGATTGACATGAGTGATGCTCATGAATGTTTATGTTGATTGACATGAGTGATGCTCATAGATGTTGTCATGGGTGATGCTCATGAATGTTGACATGAGTGATGCTCATGAATGTTTATGTATGATTGATATGAGTGATGCTCATGAATGTTTATGTATGATTGACATGAGTAGTGCTCATGCTCATAAAGATGAGTTTCTTCTTCACCTGGTTGGTGGTATGAGTGGCAAGTTGCCAAATGATATTAGTACGGGTTGTACATTTCATCATCGGGTTGGTGGCATGAAAGGCTAGTTGTCAAATGATATTAGAGTACGGGTTGTACATTTCATCACTTGGTTGGTGGTAATAGCGGCGGGTTGCCGAATAATTGTGGAGTACTGGGCATACTTTTGATGACCTGGTTGGTGCTATTTCGGGCTTATAGGCCTTCGCCCTCCACAACATGCCAGCCCATGTGGGCTTTGTCGTTTTTTTTTTTTTTTTTTTTTTTTACCCTCTGATGGGATTTATACATATTACCGTCCGATGAGGTTTATACATATTACCCTCTGACGGGGTTTATACAGATGTTTCCGAAAAATAAGGAAAATAAATTACATCATTCTGGTGGGGTGTTTATTCCTTGCTTTTGCAGTGTTTTTCTACTGCACTCTCTCTATCTCTTCATCTGGCAGACAGAAGGAATCATAATAATACGAAAATCTTTTGCTTTTCTTCTTTTCTCTCCACTGCGTCTCTGTCTTTTGCTTTTGTGCCGCAGCTCACTTGACTATTTTTCTTTCTGCTTTCTTCTTTTACTTTTCTTTCTCTTTCCTTGCACTGCTTTGCTTTGCTTTTACTTTCTTTTTCCTTTGGGTTGTCTGCACCAAAACGGAGCCTTTGGACTGAGGGTAAATTTCACATTCACCGCAAGAGGAATTGACACAAGAACCGGGAAGAATTTCAGGCAATTCGAGCTCCTCCCCTGATTTCAAACCGAAGAGATTGGGCCAGCCCGGACCCCAACAAACAATCGAAAAATTCCTGGTGGTTAATCCCCAAACGAAAAACCGACCCAGAAGCAATTACTTCAAAAGACACCCCATTTGTGTGGTTAAATGGAAATTAATGGGTTAAGCTTTGTTGGGATTTTGATTCAGTGGTCTGAGGATATCAGAAAGGAGGGAGATCTGTGTAGGCAAACAAATCTCTGAAATTCGTCGCCCGTTCATTACGACATCTCCAATATCTCTCTGTTTTTTTTTTTTTTGTTGTTGGTCAGGATCAGAATTCAGTGGAGAAGTGGGGTGCTGCATTTTGGGGTTGCAGGCCAGGCAAAGTAAACCGGAGTGTGCTGCGTTTTGAGTCGATGCCGTAGCAGATTGGACTGGCTCTTCGCAGACCTCGCCAAATCTCAACCACCAGATTGCTGTCCGGACGATCGCACACTTTTCTCTTCTTCTGCTTGAGCTTATTGGTCGCGAAGTGCTGGAACATCATCTGGACCCGTGGAAAACTGCTGCATGGCCCCCTCTTGTGACCTGGCTCCATGTCGTTGGGTCCACCACTCGTGCAATCTTCCTTGCATGTGTGCTCCAGGCACTCAATTGCTTCGCTTAGTTGGAGATACAACCTCTACTCCTCCCTATGCTTCCTTGTCCTCTTCTTCGTGATTCGATCTCGTCGATGAATTGCAAGATCTCGAGTTCGAGCCAAGGGTCGTGATCTTGCAAGAACTTCCATCCTTCAGTTGTCCAACAACCTTGAAGTGATTAGCGGCCGACTTCAGGCACTTGAGGTAGAGATTTGCCGCGTCGCACATCTTCGCCAGTTGGAGTACGTCCACCACATTTTTGATGGTCAAACGTTGCCCAAGCTCCTTCGTGCACCGGTGCTTCAGCTGTGATGGAAATTCTACATAGAGGAGTCGGTGTTTCGATGGCTGATCAGGTGGTCAAAAACATGAAGACCAACACGAACGCCGCATTCAGATGGAAGAAGCTGTTCGAGGAGCCGGTATCAGATGGAAGCGGCTCGAAAAGAGAGCCAACGAGTTGTTATTTGCACAGAGGCAAAAGCTCCGTCTTGAAAAGGCGGGACATGGGCCTGCAAGGTTTTGTAGTAGAAGGCCTCTTCTAGCTCGGACATGTATGTAGTCCTGTTTAGGCGGATCAGGTGGTTAAGCATTTTGCTCCGCCGGCTTGCCTGAACTGGTTTCCGCTTCGGCTTTTGACCCACGGGCACTCTCATCTCTGCATCTGGTCGATGCTTTAAGCCGTTTCCCATCACAATCCCTCGCGCCAATATTGCCACTGCTTTTGGGAGACTCGGCGTCGGCGTTCCCATCATAATCTCCTTCTTGACCTTGATAAGGGTATCGAGCACCATGGGCCTACACAACAAGGATCATCATCTTCACTGTCACCTTGGGCTTTGGCAGCCATGGCTGATCTCCAACCCATCAGAGATATTCTCTACCCAAAGACCCGGATGTTGTAAGAAAGCTAGCTAAAGCTTCTCATTTGTATTTAGACTCAAAATGAGTTCTTTCTCTATAGATGGATGGATTGGCTTTTTCTCAGCTTGGTTGTGTTTCTTTGAGAGAGAGAGATGAGTGATTTGATATCTGGATCTTTTCTGTTTCTGGGTTTTTGCAGATTTTTGCAGATTCACGATGGAGGTGAAAAAATGAAAGAGAACCGACATAGTTTTTTGTGTCGATTCCCACAGACGGCGTCAAATGTTGATGCACAAAACCGGAGGTCTTGGTACAACGTAATTCCGACCGTGAAGCTACAAGTAAAATAAATAACACAAGATGTATCGTGGTTCACCCCAAGGTTTGGGCTACGTCCACACCGATTGTATTGTATTTCTCTGAGAAGTGAGGGAGAGAGCCTCTGTAATATGAGAGGGGATGTGAGAGGGGTGAGAAGGCTTAGGAATGGCCTCTCCCAATTGTGAGGGTGAGGGGTCTTTTTATAGAATAAGGACTCCTCACTTATTACATATTTGCCCCTTCCCTTATCACATAATTACATTTAAGTCCTCTGAGTATTTATACAAAGTCTAAATACGAGGCCCTAAATATGGTATAAACAAACATCATACCTGTTGCTGACACCAATACATCATCACCACCAGGATGGTCCTCCAAGAACTTGGTCACATCATAAACCTGATCCAAAAACAGATATTGGCAGTATTTAGGTGATATAATTGGGGAAAAAAGCAAGCAGGCTAACTGTCTTATGCTAGAAATAAGACAGCAATACCAAACACCTTGATAGTTAGATACTAGTTTGGTCATTCGGCATCCCGTGATAGTGTAAAACTATTAAGACTTCAAGCACACCTCTAGTTCCTAGAATGCACCTTTAAACAGAGGAAATTATCACAAGATATTTTCTTAGATATGGAAACAAGTAGAATTCTATGCTGTTATCAGCTCAATGAGTTAATTTTTGTGGAGGACAAAAAGAATAATTCTATATGACCACACAGCAGCTAATTATTTGGCTATGTTCATCCACCTTCATGCCTACATCTGTCCATAGAAACATTATTCTTCTGCCTATAACAACTATACGCAAAGTCAATTATTCCTTTGCATGTATCTATCTAAGCATCCTTAAACTGGATGTGTCTAAGGAATCCTTATAACAATTTAAACAAATTAACTTTTACAATACATCACTGTAAAGAAGCTAATTAAAATTTTATTTTTTTTCAAATTTGGGAGATTATATTTTGAGGTTATAGCATTTCCACTTTTTACTTGCAAGCTGTCACTTTTGTCGTGGATGTACCTCTAGACACCATATCACTTAAGTGTTATTAGCAAGTAAATCAGCACAACTTCCGCTTAGGCATGAAATGGTTGGATTTGGAGGACACTTCATCTAGAATGCTATATGATATACGAGTTCTGTACGGTAATTAGTAATTATACACCATTTCAGCTATGATGGTCATGACTTGTGGGACAATTCATCCATGTTTGACACCTAATTGGATGGTTTGAAAATCATGGTCATAGTGCTTTTCTGATTTAACCCTTTAGTCAGAAATGCAGGAAATGTCATAATTTAACAAAATCAGCTGATCTGATTAAAAAATAAATAAATAAACAAACAAACAAAATCAGCTGGTCTGAAAAATAATAATGTGCTTTTCTTAGTTTGTAATCTTTTTAGCAAGTCCTACACTAGAAGAGAATCGCATCACTAAGCATGCTCTACACATCAAATATAGTGTTTCAAAACATATACTCGTAGATTTGCAGAACAAGAGAAGGAGACATTTGTATCCAAATGCTAAAGCTTAGGAAGAAAATACCAAATAAATTACTAAAGTGACAGTAAAAATATAGATACTATTATTGGAGTAAACTACAACGAGATAAGAGGAACAAAATAGTCTAAATCAATGAGGAAGAGTTTGATTGGCACTCGGCCTTCTAAAATTCAAGGTAGGCATCAACCCCATGATGTCAATAAATTTTTCAAATCAAAGTACCAAAATTTTTCAAATCTACAAAGAGATAAGAGGAACAAAATAACTTTTATATTTTCTTAAAATCAGGTTGTCCGCATCCAGATTCCTATGGCATACAGCCGTAGTCGAATCAATAGAAACCAAATTGCAGATGCAACCATTTAGTAGTGTTAGGATCCTAGTTATTGGGTTTATATCTTTATGGTATTTTGTCTTATCCTAGTAGTAGTTGGTTTCATCCAACGGTAGTGAGGGTGGAGATGTGTTCCAATCAGGGCACCCCTCCTCTAGGGTTGTATATAAGCCTCCCTTCACCATTTGGGAAAGGCATGAATGAAAAGAACTGTTATTTTATTTCTTACTTTCCTTGCATTTCCCTTTTCTTTCCATTCCTACGGAATGGATCCTACCATCTGGTATCCATAGCCCAGGTGTGCTTCCATGGGCAAGCGCACGGCATCGGTGCCCGTGACCGACGTTTCAAAGGCGGCACTCGACTGGCAGTTTCCGCAGCAGCAAATCATCACTCAAATCCAAAACTTGCGTGCCAAGGTCACACTGATGAACCTACCGCACAATGCTCTACAGCACCACCTCGCAGATCTGGCCATCCACACTGCTCACCAGGAGCAACTCCAACAAACTTGTCTTGAGGAGCTCCGTTCTCTAAAAACCCAACCCACCACCCTCCCTCAGCCCACATGGAGTACTTCTCCGCCACAGCCCATCGCTACCTTCCACCCGTCGACGACCCCTTTCGCTGCTGGTCCTTCGTCCCCCTCTCCTAACACGCCGCCATTCCACTCCTCTTCCCATCTCGTTGGTGATTTCCCCACCTCCAAATATTTACCCCAGTCATCCAGCAGCTCTGTTTTCCATCCGTTTGACTCCAACCCACATTTCTCCCACCACTACCCGCCTCCTCCACCAACCCACGGCCCCCATTTCACCCATGCCTACTCGACCCCTCCCAATTCGCCCATGACCATTCCAGCTCCAGACTTACAGGGGCCGACGATGTCTACACCTGCCGTCCTAGAGTTCACAACAACATCGCTCGAGCCAGTTCTTCATCGTGCGAATCTGGGCAAGCAGGTTCAGTGTGTTACGGAATTCGTGTCTTCTCTGCGTGTTTGCCAAGACAAGTTGCAAACTCAGCCTACGTAAGGAGAAGATGGGATAGAGTCTCAATTGGAGGGTTTGGATTCAATGCTTGGATTGAACCCTTCCCGTGCATTTGAATCGACGCCGTCAAACCCTTACCCGAGGCCGCTCTTATACTCGCCGCCACTGACCTCCATTCCGCATTTGGAGTCAGTTACGAAGGCTCCTTGCTCCTTCTCTGCCGTTTTGATTTCCTCAATTTCGCCAAAAATTGGGTCTTCGCCCACAGTGTCTATGGGCACTCGTCAAACTGCACCACCAAATGTCATTGTGTCAATGTTTGGCTTTCCTTCATCGCCCTTTGCCTATACTATTCTGCCTTCTCATGGGTCGTTGTTGGTCCCGAATTCCACCAACTCCACCGATGCACTACCACATCTGAGTGGTTGCAACAACTTAGACAAAGGTGTACAAAGTATGGGTTTCTCGCTCACACACTCAGACGTCAATTTGCAACTAATGCGCCTTCGTCAGCTCTCTTTCCTTGACACTACGGAAACTGGACCTGCGATATTTAATTCTTTGAATGATTGGAGGGAAATTGGAGGGTTTTATTTTGTTGGCTCCTATGTGAAGTTTTCTTTTAACGATTCCAGTTGGTGGTTTTGTAAGTACCTTGTGGGCACATTCGAGAAAGGTATTTTGAATGCAGCTGAACTGTTTGATGAAATGTTGATGAAATGTCTATGAGATGAGTGATGGCAATATGGGTACTCTATTTGATTTCCTATATCACTCGGAAAGCGATTTGGATGCTTCGCTATAGACCTATATGCTGATTTCTCTCTGCTGTTCCCTAGGAACCTTGACTTTCGGCCTGTATGGGATCCAGGCAATGCTGTAATTAACACTATAGAGTTGATGTGCTGTTTTATGTGCCACGAGAACCATTTCGATGTGCACCCTCAGTTTTTTGTTTTGCAGCTAGACCTCATAAATCCTTCAATGCATTCTACCTGTCTACTTCTTGCCACAGGAATAGGAATTATTCAACATAAATCTAGGCTTTTGCACTTGATGGTCCAATCTCAGTACATGAGGTCCTGTTCTTGTTCCAATCTTTCAACGGATTATGTTGTTTCTATGACCGAAATGCACGGTTTCTTTCATGATTGGGAGTTGTGCATTTATGAGCATGAACCATATCATATTTCTATTGTTGGAGTTTGCCCGTTTGCAACCACCCATGTTATTCCTCCACTTCAGAGACTTGTTGGTCTTGTTCTTATTACTGATCCCATGGTTATACTGAATGCTTTTGGCAAGCATTTTAATGGTCCAAAGTCCGTAGTTGAGTGCACTGCTACATATCTGGTTGATGTTATAGCTTCTCTATTTGTGTCTAATAATACTCTTTCTCAGTTAGTTGAGAGACACTACAAAACCCTTGACCGTTTAAACGTAAATGGGTTATTGCCTTTACATGATTTGATTGAGTTGGCTTCTACTGACTTTGGCCTCAATGCTAGTGAGATGATTTTTTTTGTATACTTGGAGGGCTTACTTGGTCATGCTCAGGAGAGCATTGGTTTGCCAGTGTGGAGCAACGATGGACCACATGGTCTTGCAGGAAATATTCAGATTTTGGGCATTGCAAGTATGATAGAAGAACCTGAAATGATTTTTATGGAGCCAATCACGCAAGGCCAAACTAGCAAGAATTTTAGTGATCCTTAGTTTCAGGAAGGGGGCAGCTTTTCTGTCAAGTGTACCTCAAAATTCGTATCCTACCTGCTTGTGCCTTCTAAACCTCCTCATGATTTCTTTGCGAGTTACTGCAAGACCACCCAACCCAACTTGATGTGGTATGCTATCGTTCTGATCTCCGAGTTCTATGATAACAACGATCAATGTTATGATTCAAATTTGCAAAAAGAGACCAAGGTAATATCACAAGCACTGATGCATGGAATTATGGCCTCTCTCACTATACCGCTGTATGGATTAATTGTGGGATCATATCGGCATAATGTTGATCTGCAATACCTGATTGGTTGCATCACTCTTCTCGAGACTTGGTGGCAATGGCAGTCCTTGAATTCTAAACTAATTCGACATACTTCTGAATTTCCAACAGCAAAATATTTGGGAAGAATTGAGGTATTCAATGGCTTTGTGACAAGTTATTTTCCACACTTCCAACCTATTCACTGAGCATGTGAACGGGATGACTGATGTGATTCTGCATTATTGGAATGACTACACGCATGCAGTGCTCGTGTGTGTGGCCTTAGCGCTCTTTTCAATGTATAAGCTAGAAAATATTTTTGTTAGCACGATTCTTTCGTTTGCTACTACTGAAATCACTTGCATGAGCTATTGGTTCAATCCAAAAGTTTCGTTCGCTGATAATCAGATTTGGAACCGTAACGTGTTCGTCTCATTAATTGTGTGGATGGGTGTTTTACTGGGAAACATTGTTCCGATAGAGCTGTTAGTTCCTCACCTCTTATATATCAGATTACTGGGTTATCCAAGGTTTGTGGAAGCTGACCAATTAAGGAGTGCACTCAGAGACCAAATACTTTTCCAAGACGACATTTCCTATATGACTTTGGGGATATCAATCACTTTTCTTGATGTCTCAAATTTCATAGTTTTGAAGATTCCAATGGAACTAGCAGTTGTATCCAACGAGTCACACTCAGTTTCTTGCCCAACATTCTTTGGTTTTGGACCTCTGAATTCTCTCCTGTTTACTTTGTTAAATGAATCTTGGCAGTTGGAGCACAATAGGACAGTTGAGACGTGCGGCACAAATCCACTAGCACTTTTCACTGATTCTATATCAACACCTTCATGGATTATGGCTGCAACAAGGCACTTTCTGATAGGGCATCATAGTGTCATTTTTCTGTATTCCACCAATGGCCTGCCATCTTCTCCAATCCTTCCAGGTCTTCTGGTTCCTTGGGTTTATTGTTTGGCAAAAATTGGCTATATTACATGCTTGCTAGACTTGTGGTCTATTTGGCGATTCACACCACTGGTTTTGGAAGCATTTATCATGCTAATTTTTTTGGAACCCCAAGGCTTGGGAGAACAAGCAGCGCAAGTCTCTACATACCAACTTGACGGCATGAGGACATGCCTTATTTTAAGGGGAAGGGAATGTTAGGATCCTAGTTATTGGGTTTATATCTTTATGGTATTTTGTCTTATCCTAGTAGTAGTTGGTTTCATCCAACGGTAAGGCTAGCCGACATTCACCTCTCCCAGACCCTGCGTAAAGCGGGAGCCTTGTGCACTGGGTACGACCTAGTAGTAGTTGGTTTCATCCAACGGTAGTGAGGGTGGAGATGTGTTCCAATCAGGGCACCCCTCCTCTAGGGTTGTATATAAGCCTCCTTTCACCATTTGGGAAAGGCATGAATGAAAAAAACTGTTATTTTATTTCTTAATTTCCTTGCATTACCCTTTTCTTCTCCATTCCTACGGAATGGATCCTACCAAGTAGTCTGCTTTAAAGAAACACATCCATGCGAATTTATATCTAAAGATGATAGTGGAATATCAACAAAGCCATAAACATAAACATAAGCTCAACCAATTAGCACCAAAGATTGACATGATCTCGATCAAAGTTTCATGGTAAGAAATTAACCGAAACGATGTCGAGATTTACTTTACGGGCATGAATTTTGACATGCATAACAACAGATTGTTCTTGAACAAAGTAAAAAACAACAGATTCTTCAGGTGAATTCCCAAAAAGAAAAAAATACAAAAAAACCAAGATCCACGATTCTAACAAGGAACACAATTGTCAATTTTCATCATATGTATGGTTGAATTCGCATGCAAGGATTCAAATTCCCAATCCTTACTGAATCACAGCCTTCAAAAATAAAGACATAGAATATAATCCAAGAAGCAAGCAAGATGATTGATTTTATAAAATATGTTGAAGAGTGGGAAGGGGAGAACCTTGCCATTGATGATAAGCCAGCAGTCCTTGGGGGTGTTGTGCTCGGAGACTTGAGCCAAAGTGAAAACCTTTCCGCCACTACCCATTTGCCTTTCTTGGTATCTCCGTTGCGTACTGATGGAAGGAGACGATGCAGGGGGAAACTTGATGTCAGTGTAGTGTAAATAATGTGTGTGTGTGTGTGTGAGAGAGACAGAGACAGAGACAGAGACAGAGACAGAGAGCCGGATGGGTTGTTAGGTTATTGAATAGATTTTTGGTAGGTACGCGGACGAGGATTGGAGGGCATTCGTTGGGTTGGTAGTAAACTGGTGATTTTGGTGGAAAGTTTGGTCATTTTTGTTGTTAGTTTCACGTTTTTCTAATCATGTAGTGCGTTTGTTTTGGGGCCGAATTCTAATTTTATGGAGCTTTTTTAGGGACCGACACGGTTTTAGTTTGATTCAGTTGCCTTATTGAATCAAATCATATCAAAGGCAAATTAATGGAAATAGTTTTTACACTTTGAATTTTAACTAAAAACCATGTAATGACTTTATTTAATGGTTATGACAAAATCTAAAATGGCCTAGCTAAAATAATTTATTGGGCTTCCAATTTTACCCCTAACGTTAAGTTTTCTCACCCGTTTATTTGGTACATTTCATTCGTATGAAGAGAGAAAAATTCCATAAACTACGATTATTTCTGTAATTTTCTCATTTCCCCAACCACCATCCGATCTTATACTCTGTCAAACTCCAAAAATGGCGATGAAATCCTATGGATGTGATAAACAGGTGCAAATCTCGATTCAGAAAGAAGCGGAGATGTCATAAGACTTGCCGAATCTACCTTCCGTCGAAGAAATTGGATAAGCAAATTTTGAATGGTGTGCATTGGGATTTGACTTCTTTATCAAGACGATTGAACAACCAAACAATGAACCTCTTGGCCTAGGTTCTTTCATACCCTTACCTTCAAGGGTGGTTAGGTTTGATTCGTGCATTTTGGATTTTTCAAGTTTTATGGATACAGATACAGGGAACGTAAATGCAATGAACTAAAGAACGACAAGAAATTAAACACAAGAAGTTAATTTGCATAATAAAGAAAGTTGGAGTTCCACATAAAACCAATTGGCAAAATGGGAAATAACTCAACTTACATATAAACCCATGTAAGTTCCCTCCTCCAATCAATGGGATATTCATTCTTAATACATCCCCTCACATGTGACGAATTTTCAAGCTTAACGCGTGAACAACAAAATTTGGGTGAAAAAGAATGGCGTTGTTTTTTATTTTATGAAGAATTCGACAGTTGAGTTGGATGCTTTCTATCCAAGATGGACGAATCCAAAGAATCCGAAGTGATGGTGTCCACCTTGCAATCAAAGGTGGAGTTTGAGAATTCTTGTCAAGTTGCTTTGATCCAAATAACACCTTCAATGGAAAAATAGTTATTTTTTTATAGTGGGTGAGAAAATAGCGTGGAGTAGGATTCTCTTCCCGCTTTTTTTCCCTCCCCTTTTCTTCCCTCCATTCCTATTTGAACGATCACGGTTAAGCCACGTCAACATCTTATATTAATTTTTTATAGAAAAAGAAAGACAAAATAGAGAATGTGAGAGGAGGGGATGTAAAGAGGAGATGAGAGAATCATAGTCTATTTGTTGCAGTCATTTATAATAGAAATGTGATTGTGGAAATTCTAGTATATCTAGGGATATCTTTGAATATTCCCTTTAGTAGTTAATATCTTATTAGAGTTGTAATCCTAAAAGAACGGTGAGGATTTAACATATCCTACTACTATAAATAAAGGCACAATTGGATGATACCATACACACCTCACAATTAAATCTCTCTTTTTTTTTTGCTTATTGTCACCGGCCTTCGTCTCTCTATTCCTTTAGAATAGTTCAATCCAATAGGTCTAGAACACGTTATCAGCACGCTCTTACTAGAAGTTAAGGAACAGAATGATCGTAGGAGGAGGCTCTCTTCTACAAAATTCAAAGGCTTTTATTTGTTTTCTGCCAATCAGGTACGCTTAAAATAAAGTAAGATATTTGAAACGACATGACGTATGAAAACATTCCCCATGATGCATGAATCCCTTATATTTATATTTTTCCTTCCGATATATATATATATATATATATATATATATATATATACACGTTTCATGCATTACGTAATTATATTGTTATGTGGAATTTGTGAGTCAAAGCATATAAATAAATTGGAAGCAATTTAGGATTTTTCAAACCCTAAAGATGTCAAAAAACAAAAAAACAAAAAACAAATATGGGATTATGCGGCACGACAGCCACACCATCGTGGCACCGCCGCCGAACCACTGCTCTGGCTTGTAGCCTAGCCGCGTGGAGAAAATCATGGAACTATGTCGTTTTGACACCTTAGACCACACAACAGCAGCCCTTTGGGCTTTGCTGCCCATGCATAAAGGCGCAGGCCTTCGGCCTGGTAGGCTTATATGGGCCTGAAGTCCCCAAGCGTAAACCGAGAAGCGTGCAACCTTCTTGGACTTGTCCGCATGTTCCTGGCCCATCTCTTGCAGCTTTTGCTGTTGGGTTTTCCTTAACCCTTGATAGGCCTACTCGTAGCAACCCATTACTTACTGGGCTTCGGCCTAGCTTTCGGCCCATTCGACCGTAGCTTTCGCTGCTGAGCTTGACTCGCCCAGACATAAAAACCCAAAACCCAACTTCGGTTGGGCTTCCCTCCACCAACCCGCAAGCCGGCCTTCAGCTGGGCTTGACCCGTGGCCCAAAACCAGCAGCTTTTGCTACTGGGCTCACCCAGACCACTAGGCCCGAGGCCTGCAACCCTTTCCGAGGCCCAATAAACTTGCAGCCGAAACTGCAGAGCCTATTCCTGCATTATTTTTCGACCCAATGCCAATTTTGGCATCCAGGGGTTATAAATCATGCCCAAATATTTTTTGGGGTGCTTTGGTTTATGCTAATTAATTCTAATTTAATTATCACTTGGTTTATCACCAACCGAAGCTAATATGACCCGTTTGTCATTATTTTGCTTCCTTGATCGACCTCGTTTGGTCCCGATCTAGTGAATTAATTAAAAGTGACATGCAGTCCATTAATTTGATAATTAATCCAAAATTATTGACCTGAAATCACTTTTTGACATTAACAATTCAATAATTTATTTTTATACTTTGAACCGTTGACATCCTTTCGTAGTCCTGAAGCTTTCACACTTGAGTTCTCAAAGCAACTCAAATCCACTACACTTAAATCAGCATATTGCATTCTATGTTCTTGTAGGAACCTCTTCTTTATGAACTAACCGTTCATAAAACTAAATTGGACCTGTAGTTTCATATTTAGTGCCTTTGAAACCCGAAGTTTTCATTCAAAACTTACCACATGAAACTTGTAGCTTTCATGCTTAAATTAAACTAATACATGTATATAGAACTCAAATGTTCTATGATGTATATCAATGGATTACCATATGACAAACCACATTTTGTTGTACCCTCCATTTTAGGGACATGTCGAACTTGAACAAGCCTAATTTCAACTCTCTGGAAGTATCTAGAAGAAACTAAAGTGGGTTCAAGACGTGAAGCTCTATCTTACTGCAAAGGGTATTAGAGCCACCATTAAGGCACCTATCGACGACAAACCCGTTGATGAAGCTCAGAAAACTACTGTAATGATCTTCATTCGAAGACACATCCATGATGCACCATAAATACATTTACTTGCTTGAAGCAAGACACGACTGGCAGCATCTACGCTTCCAAGACTTTAAGTTTGTGAATGAATACAACTCTGAAGTTTATAAAATCCAATCACTACTTAAGTTCTGTAAAGTGGACTTAACCGAATCAGATCTCCTGGAGAATACCTATTCGACCTTCCATGCCACCAATATTGTCCTGTAACAACAATATAGGGCACAAAAGTTCACCAAATTTTTGGATTTGATCTCTGTTTTACTTCTCGTTGAAAAGCAAAACCAGCTTTTGATGAAAAATCATCAAGCTCAACCCACTGGCTCGAACGCTGCTCTTGAAGGTCATGTGACCAATTCTAGCAGCCATAAACGACGAAAAAGGCATCGTGGCTGTGGTAATGAGTGGTAAGCCTAACTACAGGCCCAAGGTCAACAAAGCCAAGGCCCACCTAAGGGAGGAAATTTAACCCAGAAGAGCCAACCCTTTGCCCCTAAGGCCCCAAACTTCAAGAACAAGGGAAAGCTACTGCTCAATTGGCTTCCACTAAAATGGACATGTGTTACTGCTGTGGATCAAAGGATCATTGTTCACATGCATGCAGAGCTACCCCTGAGGCCATTGCCAAGTATTATTCCCATCGTGAATCTAACTTTGCCAATGTGGAACATCTCAAATATGCTACTACATCCATGGAGATATCAGATTTTAAGGAGACATCAGCTCCTATGGATGAATAAGTTTTTATTCTTCTAGACATGTTTTTAGGGTGTTTTTACCCCTAGTGGCCGAACACCCTCCTCCCCCCCATTTTTAGGTTTATGGTTTAATTTGTGGACAATTTTTCTAAGTATTTGGAATAATTTGTTTGGTTTTGGTTTGGTTTGAATTATGGATAATTATTTTTATGGATATTATTTCTCGAATTGATTAATTTAATGAATGGAATTATATTTATGCATGTGACCAATTCAATCAATTTATTTCTAGGTATGTCTAGTGGGGAAGTTAGTTGTCTAGCTGATAGTGCTACCACGCACACCATATTGCGTAAGCGACACTATTTTACTATCTTAACCATTAAAGAGGCCTTTAATTCTTTATGTTCCAGAAGAACGTTGCTGAGTTTTAGAGATATTCAAGATAATCAATATCATATTGAAACCACTGAAGATAATGGATCTGAATTTCTTTGTATCACTTCTTACGAGTATGGCCAGAAGTGTATTCACGAGAAGTTGGAATGTCTCCTGAGTGGGTTGTACATAACAACCATTCGCGGCATAGAAGCCCCACCATGTGGCCAGCCCTATGCTTGAGTTCCAGAGCACTTTGCTGCTTTAGCATGACCTTATGAGACATCTCGGAAGTAACATGATGCGCTGTATCCTCAAATCATCACATGGGCATCATTTGCCTCCCTACGTTGGATTCTCACTATGCAAAGCGTGTTCTTTGGGGAAGTTGAATACTCAACCCTCAATTACAAAGATTATTCACAACCCTCCTAAGTTTCTTCAGAAGATCCAAAGGGATATTTGTGGACCTATCCAACCAACATGTGGGCAATTTAGATACTTTATGGTGTTGGTTGATGCATTAAC